CTTTTACTATAGATGAAACAGATCCTAGAATTGTATCTTTTCTCTCTGGGTCATTTGTTTGCAGCTCCAGGAATTAGAAGTCTCTCTGTGTGTGCCTGTATTTCAAAATTAGACTAATGAAAATGAGCAGCCAGATAAAGTCCAGATGTGTGAGAAATATTTGGATCAAAGGAGGTGATTCAGCGCTTGCATAGGGCTCGTATTTTTTGCATGGTAGTGGGCTCGAGGAGGAGTCATGCCTAGTGGTGAGAAAGGCACATGCTCTGCATGTCTCGAAGGGCCCAAAATAAACGCCTGGTATCCCTAGTGAATGGATCCTGGGCTGCAGGGAAGGCAGTGGGTGACAATGGCTGCAGTATTGCACATGGTTACGCATGCACAGTGAGCCTTCTTTGAGTGGGAAAATAGCAATAAAGACCCAAACACCAGCTGAGTCTCTCGTCCCACAATTTGAATCTTCCACAGATTATTTCCATGTTGGGAGAGTGGGGGGATGAACCAAAGACAATCCTCTGATCCATTGTCTTCTTTGACGATTACTTGTAGCCAAGTAAGATTATCTTCCATAAACAGTGTGCTGGTCCCAAGGGTTAACTGTGCGGCGAGGTCCGAGTCCAGTCCGAGGTCGAGGGTGCGATATGGAGGCTGTCCTGCTGGAACTTAGTTCCCTCCGCCTCTCTGCCCTGAGCCTCTGCAGCTCAGGAGAGGCTGGAGGGTTACTGGACCCAGAGGCAACCTCCTCTTCCTCTGACGGGGCTGAGAGTGGAGCACCTGCAGGCAATGGGTCCTCCATCACCTCAGGAGCCAGAGCAGACTCAGCTGGTGCCTGCACCTGAGGATCCAGCACAGGTGAGGACCCTTCAGGCTCAGGCCCCAGCCCCGGCTCAGCTGGTTCTGGAGGCGGGGACTCCTGTGCAGGCTGGGATTCCTCAGGTTCAGCCTCCGAGTCCGAATCCCAGGCCATCACACCCAGTTTTAACAATGAGTCCGTAAGTGACTGTGGAGGCTAATTCTGGATCCACAAGTCCTTCCACAGTGGGGACATAGGTTTCCAGGCGGGAGTTGATCACGGTGAGGGTTTGCCAAGCGTGCCTTCCTTTTAGCACGTTTCTCCCTTTTGTCCTGAGTTCAAGCGTCTTCAGAGTCCATGATACCTTTGGTAAAGGCTGTTCTCAAATTGGAGCGCTCGTAGGCCAGTGTCTCCCAGTTGTCGGTGTTTATACTACATCTTTTTTAATTTGCCATGAGAGAGTCTTTAAACCTCTTTTGTTGACCACCAGCATTACGCTTTCCATTTTTAAGTTCGGAATAGAGTAGCTGCTTTGGAAAGATGACAATTAGGCATCCGTACAACATGACCAGTCCAATGAAGTTGATGTTGAAGAACCATTGCTTCAACACTGGTGATCTTTGCTTCACAACACAGATTTAAATCAGAAGACTTATTTATTTTATTAATTAATTAGATTTATATACCACCCTTCAACATAAGATCTCAGGGCGGTTCACAGAATAAAAAAAACAGGATAAAAACAAGGAAAGAAGTCGAACAGAACGCCGGGGGTGTCACATAAAGCACCATCAGTGCACATTGAAAGCACATGGCCTGCCCCCAAAGAACCCTGGGAACTGTCATTTCCCCCTGAAAGAGCTACAATTTCCAGCCCCCTGAACAAAGTACTTTGTGCTTTAAATGTACAGTGTGTGGTGTAGTGGTTAAGAGTGGTAGTCTCCTAATCTGGTGAACCGGGTTCGCATCTCCACTCCTCCACGTGCAGCTGCTGGGTGACCTTGGGCCAGTCACACTTCTCTGAAGTCTCTCAGCCTCACTCACCTCACAAAGTGTTTGTTGTGAGAGAGGAAGGGAAAGGAGAATGTTAGCTGCTTTGGGACACCTTCGGGTAGTGATAAAGCGGGATATCAAATCCAAACACTTCTTCTACAGCCCTGCTGCATTTGCCTCGTCCTCAGGTAATGTCTGTCCAGTTCAGAAGGTCAACTTGAAGCTATGAATGTGCCTCCTCTTCTGCTCACCTTTATATCCTGCTTCTGTTGTGGAACCAAGGTGTGCATATGGTTCCCAGGCAGCTCCTCTCATCGCCAGGTGTTGATCAGATCCAGGGTTCTTCCAGATGGGGGCTTTCTTACGCAGACAGGTCATTCAGATTTGGAGCGACGGTGATATGTGACTGTTCCTTTAGCCTCACATTTTCCATAGGCATTCCACTGCTTCCTGCCCACGTTTATTTTCTCTCCTGCTGGCCCTTCTGTGTGTATGAAATCACATCTAACGTTATGTGCTATTCTGTCCAAATGTTGTTGTGCGGTGGAACCTCTGTGTTCCTGGGGTGGGGGTGGGGGAATCTTTCTACTCTAGCATGGAAGAAAGAAGGGCACAAGCCTGCCTAAAGGCACCTTTCGCAGGAAGGTTTTTATTAAAATTAGAGGAGAGATGGAGCCTGGGTGAAATTGCCAGGAAAGAAGGTGGGCGGGGGGAGGGGAGAGAGATGCCCCATCTACCTCCTTACTGCCTTCTGAGATAGATTGTTCAACATGAAATATGCACCAAATTGCATGCTGCTCTATATAGCTTTCACAGTATTCTTCTTCTTAAATAACCTTAATGACAGGACAGTTGGACTGTGAGGCATTTTGAATCCCCTCTGCAAGATTATGCAGGGAAATGATGGAATTCATTAGAAACTGCTTATAAGTTCATTAGAAACTGCTTATCCCCCCCACCCCCTTTCCCCCCAAGGCATATGTGTGTGTGTGTGTGTGTGTGAGAGAGAGAGAGAGAGAGAGAGAGAGAGAGAATTGCACAAGGCCAAAACTCTCTATTTCCTTGTATTCCCTCCCCCCATAAAAGGAAAAAAATTATCATTGTTTGTCATTGTCAAGCTAGGCTTGGAAACGTGATTACCATTAGTGGAAAGGATGTAATAACATGGGCTGAACAGGGTTCTCCCAAGTACTGCATTATGTCCACTTCATTATAAAGTAGAACTGGGAAGAAAGGAGCTCTGGGATTGCCATCTAGGATTTCAAATCAGCAGAGAGTCAGCTTGGGGCTTTCCAAAACAAGGTGCAGCTCCTAAAGTGAGATCATCTGCAGAGATGTGCTCTGCTTCTCCAGTGGGAATTTACGAGGGTGGGGTGGGGGCTGCAACAAAATGTTGCAGTGCAGCATTTTATCCACTGTGATAAGAAATACAGAGTTATTTACTTATAAGTAGATGAGAAAGTAAATGAGGAAAAAAGGAAGAGGTGATAGGAACCAAAGGTGTCTTTTGTCTGTCCGGTGACTCCCACTATAAATAATCTAGTGTAATGTGCTCTTACCTGCAAAATCCAAACCAGGGTTTGGGTTTCTTAACCACAACATGGTAGGCATCTGAATGAAGGCTAGAGGTGAGAAGGAAATTTTATTTGGTTTGCATTTAATGGGACATCTCCCTAATGTATGCTTCCCAAAACAAAACAAATTATTCGTATTATAAGTAGTGGTGATGTTCTCATTTTTAGTTGTTTTTTCCCACATAAATTGACCCAGAGCAACCTACAAAATAACACATGCATCAACACCAAGTATAAGAAACCTGGGCCGATACAGTGGTACCTTGGTTTACGAACTTAATCCATTACGGAAGTCCATTCTTAAACCAAAGCATTCTTAAACCAAGGCGTGCTTTCCCATAGCAGCGGGGGACTCAATTTACAAATGGAACACACTCAACAGGAAGTGGAACATGTTCTGCTTCCAAGGCAAAGTTCACAAACCAAAACACCTACTTCCAGGTTTGCAGCGTTCTTAATCCAAGTTGTTCATAAACTAAGCTGTTCTTAATCCAAGGTACCACTGTAGTCCAGCAATTTCTCACTCCATGGACATTGTCCAGTAACCCAGTAACAGAGAAGATTGACAGCTTGGCTCCACCCACGTTGGTTGTTTAATTCCCACCTTCCAGCCTGGTGGGATTCCTGACCCTTGCAGTAGCAGCATGTTTGTGAGAGCCATTGAATCAAGGCACCCCTGTTGGCATATTAAAATGTGTGCTGAGTTGCACTGACACTGTATTCCTTTGCCACAATGGCGGATTCAGAGGTTATTTCAGAATTGTTCTTTTGAGACAGCTATAAACGCAGAGAGAAACGTAGTCCTGGCTGTTTGTTGATGCCCTCGGAGTATTCCACAGGTCACTGGGAACTCTGTGGTCCACATTGTATTTACTGCTTCTCTTAAGGTTGTATAAAATTATAATTGATTTGTGGTTGCTATTAAACCATCCTCTGGTAACAAGTTTAAAATTGATTGTGAGCCCCTTTGAGACGTATAAAGAAATGCAACATTAAAAACACATTTAATCCGGCTTTGGAATCCATATGTTTCTTTTCGTGAAATGAGACTTCAAAAGCTGCGGTTTCTCTGAAAGCCTGCACAAACTCAGCAGGTGACGCCATAAATAACCTGGCAATCAGTATTTTTTTTTTACCTGTCATCTCATGGAACCATAAACTACTTATTGTACCATTTCACTTCACATGGCTCCAGCAACTATTAATGTATGTGTACAGTAACTTGTAAAACATCTAGTTATTATTCTGCCTATATTAGCTCTTTCATGCTAATGATTTATTTTTCATTTTCTCCAGGATATAGACCCGCAGCTAACTGGAATTGATTTATAAGTGGGGAATCGGCAGCAAAGAGATGCTCTCTTCATATCGCAACTGTGGAAAACAGAATTGGCAATTGAATGTCGCCTGACAAATAGGGCAGAGTGAAGATGCTGCTTCGGCGGGAATGAAGTCACAGGGAGATGCCTGTCATGTGCAGAGGCTTTTGAGAGTTTTCTGACAGGCCCCCCTTCTGGAGGCTTGAGCCATCCATTTCATTTCCCTGCTCCCTTGCCAAGAGCACTGCTTCACCCTCTCCCTTCCCACCGAGTGGATACAAATAAGATTTGCTCCAACCACAGCAGGGCAACTGATGTGGGACCATGGCTTTTCCAACATCCATGTGGCTGAACTGCGTGTGGAGAGCGATGCTGGTCCGCCTGCTGCACATGGGATTGGATGCCACCTTCACCCTCTGCATACTCGGGTTCTTGCTTCACGCTGCCGCCGTCTCGTCGCAAAAGTTGGATGATACCGACCCGGTGGTGACCACCAGCTTTGGGAAAGTCAGGGGGATGAAGAAGGAGTTGAACAATGAAATTCTGGGGCCGGTCATCCAGTTTCTCGGGGTGCCGTACGCTGCTCCTCCGGTTGGGGAGCGCCGATTCCAGCCTCCTGAACCGCCGTCTCCTTGGCCAGATATCAAAAACGCCACCCAGTTTGCACCGGTGTGTCCCCAGAACATTATAGAGGGCAGGTTACCTGAAGTCATGCTCCCTGTCTGGTTTACTAATAACTTGGATATAGTTTCTACCTACGTGCAAGAGCAGAACGAAGACTGCCTCTATCTGAATATATATGTCCCAACTGAAGATGGTGAGTTATTTACAGGAGAAGCAGGGAGATCTTTTTGTTTCGACTTTCCTATTGAAGTTCTTTACTATTAAATCATGTGTACTGGTAGCCAGCACGGCTTTCTTGTCTGCATGCCAGCTTTTTCTTCCCTCCCAACTTCCTTTTTATTTATTTTTTTACTTTATTTCACATCTATGCATGTGGCTTTTCTATGTATGCACCAGTTCTAAGCCTCTACTACCGTCCCTTCTCCTCTGATCTTGTCTCTACTCATTTTCCTCGTCCTTCAGCACGTGTATTTCTTAGGTCAAAGTTGGTACCTAAATGCTCATTCCCACCCATTGACTTCTGGGGAAAGATGCATCAACATCTTGATCCATTGCATGGGTAGGCCAAAGGAGTCGGGACTCAACCGAGTAAATAAATGACGTCAATAAGCCAGGCCATCTTGAGCTTAGCTAGCGGTATTGCATGCTCCTACTGTCTTGTCACGGAGCTCCATGTTATTTTCTAGTCTTCTATTCATTTTTCAGTCAAAAGAATATCCAAGGAATGTGCCAGGAAACCCGGCAAGAAAATTTGTAGAAAAGGAGGTATGTATAAAGTGGGCACCAATAAAAGAATAAAATCGAAAACTGGGTTGGAGAAACAAGAGAGAAAGATGGAAACTGTGCAGAGGAAGACCAAGTTAGTGCATCTTAAAAGGAAAAAAAACAAACGAGACTGCTGTTGTTTATTATTGTAGTGCAGGGAGAAGATATAGCTTGTAACCAATGAGCTTGAAAACCGGTTAAATAGGGGGCAGTTTAAAAACAGCAGCATGAAAGAATAACTATTCCCCCTTTCCCTCTGGAAGCATAAAGGCTGAACCTCGCTCCCTTCCTCTCTTGTTCTGGCAGATTTGAGAGTTTGTTTGCACGTTAGTCTTGATAGTTAGAGGAGTGAAGCTCAGAAGTGGTTTGCATTTTTGTCCCCTTGTGGACCCAGCGATGTCGCATATTGTCCAGTGAGTTCACACCTTGGACTTCTGTGGATCCCCTGAAACTCTTTTAGTTTGTTTGCATTTGCCATAGAAATTGTCATATGTTTGATCAGTTATAGTTCACATAGCAATTCCCCCCCCCCTTTTCTTTTCTTGTTGAGCAAGTAGAAATGTTGAATATTAGTTTATATGCTGGGATGATATGGTGATACTGCGTTTATTATTTTTATAATTTATATAAGAGCAGAAATGCACCGGGTAGTTTATGCTGCACTTCATTGCCACTGCATATATCTGAATCTAAGCTGCAAATATACCAGAGATGAATACATCCCCAGTTTCTACTTGTAGGGATGCAAGACAGAGAATCTCAGTTTTTCAAAATTCAAGGGAGCGTTTTAGATTTCTAAGAGTTTTATTCCAACGTTGAACTTCCTCATATTCTCCAATACCTTTTGTATTCCAGTTTGGGATGCAAAATTTCAGATCCAGGATTCAGCAATAAAATTTATATTGTTGATTGCCGAGGGCGGGGAACATTCAGCTGGTGAAATCTAAGTATGAATTTCAGTCCTGAAATGCATGGATCAATTGTCCATTGATTGCACCAGAAGGGCAATAAGTAATAATTCCACTTTGTGCTACAATCTGTTTTGCGTAGGTATGGGAATGAGTTAACTTGGCGTTAATCCTATTGGTGGTGTAACTAACTACTGTGAAAAGCAATCACTTGTGATATGAAAAAAGTGGGGGGTGGGAGAGGAAGGTTATTGCATGTTCATTTACATTATTTGTACTGTGCCAAATTTTCTGGAAGTTTTCTATCTAATACACACACAAATTTTAAAAGGCAGACTGGTTTAAATATAGGAAAGCAATGTAGCATAATTTTGTCACTATAATCTGGAAGGTCCTGTTTTTAGCTACTTTTTCTTTCATACAACTTGGCTCTTTCCTGCTGGGATTGTAGGATCTGCGAGAAAATGCCTTTCAGAATGTTTGGAGATTGCTAAGCTAACCGCATACATTTTTATCTACCTGTTTCATTTTTAAACACGGGGAAATTATCTTTTTGTTCACTGGAATTTGAAAGCACTGAATCACCTGCTTCTATTATGATTTAGATGTGTGAGGGAGCCTGCCTAGAAGGGGGACTGCTGAAGGCAAACCCACACGTGAAGAAAAAGCACATCATACAACTGTCTTGGGGTTGTACCACTTGAGAATGTAGGTGGACAATTGCATGCTTGATCACTCTCCCACTTAAAGCAACTACGGTAAACCACCTCCTCTCTAATTTGCTATCTGCCTTTGAACAGTAAGTTTGATGTGGGAGAGCCATCAAGTCATGCAATTCCTCCACCTAGAGGTGTAAATTTCAGAAGTGTTGAAGCTATCGACAAAAACATTCCCCCCTGGATATTTTTTTTTTGGAGGGGGCTGAGGTGGGAGCTGACTAATAGTGCATCCCTCTAGATCAGCCTTTCTCAACCTGTGGGTCCCCAGATGTTGTTGAACTACAACTCCCACCACCCCTAGCTAGCAAGACCAGAGCTCAGGAATGATGGGAGTTGTAGTCCAATAACATCTGGGGACCCACAGGTTGAGAACCGCTGCTCTAGATCAATGCAGTCCATGCGGTTTCAGGCAGGAGACTTTCCAGTCCTACCTGAAGATGTCAGAGATTGATCCTGGAACTTTCTGCATGCAAAACATGCAGATCTATGGTTCTTCTTTGATGGAGATGGGCTCCTGGAAATAAATGAAATATAATCAATGCTTCCTTAACTTCTTTTAGGACATGAATTGCAGTATAAGGCTCACTCAGAAATAAGTTTCACTGTTTTCAATGGGATGTACGCCCAGGTACATGTGCCCAGGATTGTGGCCTTAGCAGGTAAACATGATGATGTTTGCCATCTTTATGCAATTTTGATGTGTAAATGCACAAAACCTATAGATGGAAATGCAAGCTGGTAGCTTGCATATCTTAGTAGCTAAGTGTATTTTAGTTTTTGCAAGACAGGAAAAGACGAGGAAAATGAAAATAGACACAATAAACATTGTAAAAAGGAAGGCTTTGGTCATCTGGGTGTGGACATTGTGGGGAAAGATCTGGAGAACTTTGCAAATTGTCTGCATGCCCGAGGAGGCTTTGGGCATGTATCTGAGGACAAGCATCCCGCCTTAGCACATGGCGAGCTCTTGAAGCAGAAGTTTCAAAAGCAGTTTGAATTACAACATTGTGGGAAGAAAATAAATGAATAAGCAAGCAAACTTACTGGGCGTACACAAGCCTTTAGACCTGGTTAGGCGTGGATTACATGTAACACTGCCTTGTGGTTTAGCTCTCTCCAGGAGCTGCAACATTTAGAAGTTATTTTCCAACATTTGCAGTGTTTCTTGTTTAGTAATCCAGTGAAACAAAGTAGCATTTATTCATTCAGCCCTTTCTATACCACCCAATTAACTAAATCCTCTGGGTGGTTCAGAAATGTTAAGAGGAAAAACAAAATCAAGAATAGGAATGGAAAATACAAAGAAACAAAGATAACCATTATAAATATAAACCTAGGCTGGCACAAATAGTGGCATCAGACCATTTCAGAACAGCACAGAATCACCATGAAAACAGAGAAACAACACAGTTTTCCTAGCCATCATTTCTTTGTTCACCTACATTCTGACGTGGTACTGTCCAAAGAGGACTGTACCATTTGCTTTTTCTGAATGTGTAGGTAGCCCCTCACTCAGGGCCGTCTTTAGCATATGTGGCACTGGGGTGCAAAAAACTGCCCAGTGCCACCATTTTTGGGTGGGGCAGGCCAAAGTTGTTGAGCTTTTTTGGGGAGCACAACTCTCTCCCATGCGACTCCAGTTGGAGGGAGGAGAGCAGTCCCTACAGAGGCTTGGGAGGGAAGCTGTCCGCCTCATGTGAGCAGCATGCATGCGCTGGGTGGGCCTCCCAGGTGCGCAGGAGGGCGGAGCTGTCTCAGTGCCCGCAGCAGAAAAGCCTCCGGTGCTCTGACGGACTCTGCTCTGCTCAGCAGCGGCTGTTGGCTGGCCTGACTCTTCAGTCCCCGGACTCCAAATTTCGGCCCTGGACTCTTGGCCTGGTGCCCCTGAGAGCCTGGTGCCTGGGTGCCCTGCACCCCTAGCACCTATGGGTGAGCTGGCCCTGCGCTCAGTGCTTACATTAAGCGCTTCAGTCTTATTAGTGACTGAATTAATGGGTGTGGGTAGGTGTGCCCACCCACATGAGTCTGCATACTATCAGAAATAAAGCACAATGGCAACTGGGAGGAGGGCTGTTTCAGTGATCGATTTCTTTAATAAACGCTTGCACTGATATCTATGTTTCATGCCCTTTGGTATACCCAGTAGGACTATGGCAGGAGTTGCATTGGCTGTGAATTCTGTGTATCTTGCTCCTAGGACAAAATCCCCTCCATGGACACAATGTCTTCAACTGGTGTAAGGAATCAAAGGTACATGTGGTGGTTCAGAGGGGTTCAGAAACCAGTGCATTCAAAAAATGCACAAGGGGGCGGGAATCATGGGTCACACAGGTGACTCCTGTCTTTCCTCACCACACCACACCACACCACATGGCTATGGGACTACTGTCTGTGGAATTAGGGCACATGAGAAGGAAGGCAGTCCTGATTGGTCCAAGAGCATCCCCCCCCCCTTGCTGGACAGATGTGCATGTATGTAAGTTGGTACATGCACAAAGCCCTTTCTCGTGTGCTCAATGCACAGATGGTGTGTGGCTGCCAGTAACATGGGCTAGACTGTGTGGCTCAATGACCCTATTGGATATGTGGGGAGAGGATTGATTGATTGATTGATTGATTGATTGATCGATTGATTGCATTTCTGATCCATCCTTCACCAGGAGTGAAATCCAGCAAAGGATAATGCTGCTGCTGATTAATAGTAATAATAATAGTAATAATAATAATAGTCATTATTATTAGTAATAATATGCCACCCAGCTGACTGGGCTGCCCCAGCCACTCTGGGCAGCTTCCAACAAATTATAGAACCACAGTAAAATATCAAGCATTAAAAAGAACAACAGCTCTGTAGAACAATAACTGTGCATTGCATAATGATTTAAACATCATAGCTGTCAACTTCTCCCTTTTCTTGAGAGGAAACCTATTCGGAATAAGGGAATTTCCCTTAAAAAAAGGGAAACGTTGACAGCTATGTTAAACATAGGGCACATGTGTCACCTGCAACCTTAAAAAAAAGCAAGATCAAATAGCAGCAAGTGACAAACTGCTTCACACTCAGTGGCTCATTTCAGTTCTCACTGAATGAAAGGGGTTCATTGTCAGTGTCTTCAACCAGCAGAAGGACAGCAATGCTGGTCCTCCAATGAGCAACACTGCTTCTGCTCCCTGAGCTTCACCAGGAGTGAGCCGGAGCTCAGTGGTAGAACATCTGCTCTTTTTTTGGTGCCCAAGGCAAAAAGTTCGAATGGTGGTTGTTCATTTGTTAAAAATATAATAATGAATTAAATGATGGTGCTCCAGTCTACCAGCTAAGATGTTTTCCTTCGCCCTTCATATTGCTAGTATCCCGGCAATAATGGCCACGTGGGTAGCCATTCACCTATAGCCTCTGTCCATGTGGTGTGCCAGGCATTACTGTGGCCTCCTTCAGGCCCAGTTCACACAGGAGGCCTCAACAGAGCCTCTACATGCTGAGGAGCCACAAGCTGACTGCAGCAGCTGTCGTTTCTGATGGGTTCAACAGTTCTAATCTGTTTTGCTTGCCCACCTGCTTACTGTTCAACAATGCAGGACTCTTCTTGCAGCTCTTCAGAACGAAGGGGAGATAGCTATGATGGGGCTCTCCACTTTCCTGTAGCAACTTTTGGAACCAATAGCTGCTACAGTGAGAGAGAGGCTTCTAACCACTTTGAGGGTCTTTTAGGCTTTCCA